ATTGAACGGATTTTTAATTTATAATGGACTCCCCCCTTACCTTGGTGAGTGAGGTAGTCCGCATGTGTTTGGTGGTGTGATGGATGCAAAGTGAGGAAGAAGTGCTCACGGTTTTGGGTGGCCAATTGGGGTATCTTTGCTTGCTGAAATTGGTTTAGTGCGCTTCTAAATTTGCATGTTTCCCATGGTGCAAAAGTGGACGTGAAGGGTGAGGGGTCCAAGGGAATATTGGGTGCAAACTTTCAAGGAGAATAGTAATTTAGGGACTTGTGAATATTTGAAACCATCCTCACGGATTCTAGCTCCCAAAAGCAAGGAGAATGTGTTAATTTTGTGTGCAAAGTGACAAGAATCAAGCATGGAATTTTCGGTCAGCCAATGAAAACTAGGGATAGGATTTCATGAAGCTATGCACACGATTTTAACAAAATAAGGTTGAATGAACAAATTCGGCAAGAAACAAGTGTGGAATTTTCGGCTACCAAAAATGGAAATTGGCCTAGGTTAGCACAAGATCACGCATGCGGTTCAAGGATTCAAACTTTTAGGTTGCATGGATTTTCTAAAACTAAGATTGCATGCAATGTGATTGGTCGTCATAAATGCGATGAGACTTGGTACAAATTTCGAAAAAGGTAAAATTTATAATGGCGGCTCCTCGAAAAACACAAAAGGAAGTTTCAAATTTCAAGGCGTCCTCGAATCGGAAAACGAGACACTTGCATGAAATTCTATTGGCCAGAAATAGATTTTGGAAGATTCGGCGCAATGATTGCAGCGGCTCAGCACTGACTACGATGAAAAAGTGCAATCATTGCGACGACTAAGTAATGATTACGGTGAAAAGTGCAATCATTACAGGATCCAAGTAATTATGGCAAAATCTAAGTAATCATTACCATCTTTGCACGTCTTTTGAGGCAAAAGTAACTTTTTTGAAAAGTAAAGGTAAAAACACTTTTTGGCACAATTTTCAAAGCGTTTTCTCGAAATTCACAACGGAACAAGATTAGGGATTATTGGACGATGTTGGGACTGAGTATCATGCATGTAGTCATTCTAAAATGCAGGGCTCTCTACGAATTGAGACGATCGATTCGAGTCTAATATCTAACTATCTATCCCGACAGTGGCAGGTCGAAACTGCGAGAAATTCACGACTCTATAAGATAACAATTAGGCTACGAAAATTGGGGCGTTACACATCGCCAGCAAACCTTCACTAATCCAAATGTGAGCAAGCATTACCAGGGTCGTGGTAGGTCCATTCCTGAAGAACGCTCTTGAAGCATGGGTTGTCGACAATTAAATTTTTCTGAAACTTGTGCTATAATGTGATGTGGAGTAGGGAATGGAGTCCTCTAACTACCTCTGACGGTAAATGAAAGAAATTGATGATGACGACGATGATGTTCCGAGAGACTGGGATCCCTATGCATTGCATCATGTGACTAAATAAAGAGTGAATTTCATAAGGATCTTGCATCATGCATCATCCAGCATATGTTTGGCTATGTCATGTTGTTTGATTTGTCGAATTGATTGGTATTAGGTGTTATGGATGTGATTGAGAATAAACCCATTGTATGGATTATTGTGTGACTTGATTTGTTCTATCTGTTACATGGATTCACCCTCTTGTATATTTTGTGTCTTTCTTTGTTTGCTTGTTTGATCTATGTGTGTATAGATGATCTATGTGTATATTCTAGTATTAAAGGAAGACATGTGGTTCTACAATTTAGCCTAGCGATGGTACATCTCTCGTGAAATGATGATCTTGGGTTCAACTCATGGAGTCCATTAAGGCGTGCATGGTTGAATTCTTCAGAGGAGCGCACTTCCTCTTATTGTTTTTTTTTTTTTTTTGTGATTATCGCCTTTGTATAGTTATAGTGTTGAGACTGCTCTTAGACTTAAATAGAGTTAATAACTATTTTGAGTTATACCTTATGTTCTCTAAGTATCAATTATTGTATTTTTATTGACAGTAAGATTAATTTGTATTAAATGATTATTTACGTATCTACCTATGATAGTGTTATTTTCAAATCATGGTTTATGCTTGGGAAAGAAGAGGATTTCCATATGTATTCTTATGAATGATAAGAGTTGTTGAGTATTCATGTACTTATATGTATGATTTATAATTTCTGACCAAGTGTCGTGTACCAATACAGCAAGTATATACCTTGTATACATGAATACTAAGATGATTTATTAAGTGTAAATGTGTTATGCACGTTAATTCTCTTATTCACCACATGTAAATTACCTACCTAAACATGCATATATGCCACTTCCCGCGTGAAGGCGTAAGGCACCCAAGTGGGCCATTGAGTCTGTGTTAGGGACGTTACATGATTGATGGAAAGAAGGTTTATTGCAGAGTTAATAAGGTAGAATATCACTAATTAGTATTTGGTCTATTTTTATGTGGCATATAATCTAGTCTAAATGAATCAAGCTTGCGAGTTTGTAGACTAGAATTGAAAAATAATCAAAGAGTTTATTTTGGTTATCAAGAAAGTAAGTAGAGATTGTTTGCTAAAGTTTTGTAGTAACTATAACTAATTTATTAAAGGATAAAAGAATTATATTGTATGTTGGTGATTAATTCAAATAATCAATATTATAATTACTCCTTGAACTAGAAATTTATTCATTGAATGTTTTAATGTTTTATTTGTTTATTTTTCTATTTTAATTCAATTCATATAAAATTCCTTTTTTACTTTTGTTAAAGAAAAAAATTTTACTAATTTTTGTGGATTCGGCCTTATTTATTATTATTTATAAATCTTTTAAAAATTAGAATAAAATTTGTTGAATTTCACACTCATCAATTGTCTTATAGTCTGTGCGAAGACTCAATTTGGTCTTATGCATTTTTTTCTATTGCTTTCTCTGCCCAAATCTATGATATTTTCATCAAAACTCTTTTACTACAAATGTTTACTTTTTTCCTTCTCAAGTTGTGTATGTTGAATATTTTCATCCTACTTCAACTTGGAGGAGAGTGTTTAGTGGAGGAGGCAAGTACTTACAGGAATTCAACAATTACAATTTAGCTTGCTTCTGCATCATATGTTTTTAAGTATAATTAGTAATTTGCTTCTGTAGTTAGTTACTAATTTTGTTACTTGTTGCTTTGTAATAAGATTTGTCTTAGTAAACATATTTATAAATAACAAATTATACACTTTTTTAGAATATCAATAAAATCTCTTTTTTTTTTTCTTAAGGGTGTTGTTTTTATTTTCATTCTCTCAACGAAAAAATCTCAAATATTGCTTTGCAATGTCATTTAGATTAGAAAAAGTTAACCCAATATTTATTTTATCAAATTTAATTATATATTTTATTTAAATAAATAAAAAGTTATAAAAGAATTTATAAATCACTTTCATATATAAAAATAGACTCGTTTCAAAAATATTTTATTTTGATTTTCTTACATTGCATCTATTTTTATCTTTTACACTATAAAGACGAAGGGATAATTGAAATTAACATTTTTATATATTTTTTATATAAAATATAAAGTATGGAAATAGTTTCTGTTTACCTATTAATTTTAGCTTTAGAATACAATAATGCTTTTTATAAATAATCTTATTTTAAGAAACCTTTCCTACATCGATTTATTTTTTCTTGTCATATCGTTATGATACAATAAAGATAACAAATAGAAATCATGAAATTTTAATTTTTTCACTAAATATAAAGAAATTATAAAAAATAAAATAACTTGACCTGTATTTTAAACAAGAAAATATTGTGGCATGGTTAAGATTTTAACATTATAATTAATTATATATCAGAATATGTTATTATTTTAATTATTAATTTAATTATATTTTTATATTATATTTATTTAAAATTATATTTATTGTTTAAAATTAAAAAAAATGCTATAAAATATTTATAATTATTGTTTTCAATATTTTATATGATAAAAGAATAATTGTTAGGGTTAATATCTTTTTTATTTTTATTCTTCTAGAGAATCAATGTGTTAGACAACAAAAAAAGTAGAAGAGTGTAAGACCTTGCTTTTTACCGTTTGTTTACTTAATTAGGATAAAATTTATTAAATTTACAGATAAATTAATTTAAGTAGAAGAACATGGGTAAATGTTGATGTTATAAATGGAATGCGTGATTTTGTTTTACTTTAATTATTTACTAACGATTTTTTTTTATATTATTAAACTGCTAAAAATTTTGTCAAACCCGTTTATAAAATGATTTCAAATAAATATTTAGAGTTTCAAGGACATACTATGTATCACAATGTAAGAAAATATCAAAATTAATATTATAAATTAACAACAATTAAGACCTTTTAATCAATGTATTCTAGAATTAAAATTTTACACTTCTATAATTAAATTTTAAAAATTAAATTATTTTTTAAATTTATGTTTTCACACTTTCAAAAATTAATTTTTAAAATTATAAATTTTAAGTTTCTAAAATTAAGATTCTATTTAAAATTAAATTGATTTCCAATTTTAAATTTTCATACTACTAAAAATTAATTTTCAAAATTATCAACTATTTTCAAAACTAAGTTTACCAAATTAAGATCTTACGTTTTCAAAAATAAATCTTCAAAATTAAAATTTTACACATCTAAAAATTAGTTTTCAAAATTAATATTCCATACTTTATAAAAATAAATTTCTAAAATTAAATTTCTACTCTCCCAAAATTATTCATTTTTACATGTTTCAACACTTCAATTTCCAAAAACATTTTTCAATACAAGCTTCCAAAATTTATTTTCCAGAATGTCAATTTTAGACATTTCAAACTTTAAATTCCGCACTAAAATTAAGAACGTATAAGAAAATCGAGAAATATCTTTTATAATCATTAAGAATATTTTTAAAATAAAAATGATAAAAGAAAATTAATGGGTGTGAAAAGGAAAAAATAAAAAAGGTTGCAAGAAAGCACCTCCCTAACATAACACAATTAAAACACTAGTATGAGAAAGAAGGCCCAATTATTATTAGAATTGGAAAATCTTGTAGAAGAGTCATTTCGGGTTAAAAAGACAGACTCCATCTCAAGTCTCGACCTCAAAACCACATTGCTAGAAATATCGCGTCAACCAGGAAATCCCCAAAATGGGTTTGACCATGGAACAATTATTACAGACGTCGAAGATTGAAAAAAATGTAGCACCAGAAATTTCCAAAGAACCCAACGATATAATCTTGATATCGCCACTGTTGAATATAATACACGGATTGTTCTCCTGCAATTAACCTGCCAGTGCTGAAGCTCCAGAGATAATCTCAGTCAATTCAGTGGTGATTGATGCTTGACGAGTTCTGTCACAAAATGAACAGCGAGAGCAGTCAAGTTAAACCATAGCTTCAAACGCAGTACAACACTGAATTGACAGATAATAATGCAACCATATAGGATTAGGATAGAACATGTCCCAATGAAGATTGATGTTGAAAGGCATTAACAAATGCATGTAGAGAAAGAGAAAAAGAGACCTGTTATACGTGAGGGTGAGACGATCAAGCATCTCCCCAGCGTTCCTGCTAGAGCTGTCCATGGCAGACATCCTTGCTCCTTGTTCACTGCAAGCATTCTCCAGCACCGCATTGTACATGGTCTACAGCAAAGTAGTGTATACAGAAAAACAAACTATGATCAGAAAGAAAGACATTATTTTCAAACAGTAGATTTTATTTAAAACAGAATTCAGCATATTTTCAAAACCAAAAAGCGCCAAAAATAAAAGGTACACAGGGCTTTAAACGAATGTAGAGAGTACAGAATCGAAAAACCCTCCATGAGCCCACATTTTCAGGTTGATGTACTGCCAGAAGCCTCACAATTAAACTGATGGGAATCCTCAATATGAAATTTCTCAATCAAAAAGCATTAAAAGGTAAAAAGCATACCAAAGAAAAAGGAAAACATGTATAGTCTATATAACTGCTCAAAAAAAAAAAAAAAGGGAAGTTCCGAATGTTTATTTCAGAGAATCATCTGATCATAAAGCCACAGTGAAATTGTCAGTCAAATGGAAGTGAAAAACCTTACAGTTCGAATGATTAAAATAACCATCACAAGAAGTGTACAATAACAAGTGTGAAGGAAGGGGGGTGAAAAATTTAAAACTAAACTTATATTCGCTGTAAATCCTAATACATGAATCTGAGTAATCAAAATGTGTATCTTTCAATTTTTGTTGTGTATGAAAAACAAGTTAGGATTCGTCCACAAAGCAGTCCATTAAAGGAGGATCATATATTTTAGCAAGTATTTTTTGTTACTCATCATTTAGTCCAGTTTATATATATATATATATATAATAGATTGATTCACTGATGAGAGATCAAATTACACTTGTGCAAGTTACCCCTAATCTTACACCATCAAAATAACTTTTAATTATATAGTTTTATCCTAAAACAAACCATTGGTTAAAAGTTTTTCATATACATCATAACTGCAAATTTGATACCTATTTATGTTTGTCCAAATTAATATAATAAATACATATAAAATATATGAAAATAGAAATGTATTAATTATACTCTATAGTTGTTTAATTTTGACAGTTTCACACAAATAATCAAGGTATGAAGGTAAGAAGGTAACTCAACGATTAGATTGATTAAATTCACATTCTATATGAAGTTATTAATGATGTAAGAATCAATGTAACTCGCACTAGTATAATTTAATCCCTTCTACCACCACACACTGAAAGAATAAATTCCTTAACTAGAATATCTGGCTATCTGCTCTATTTATAATATAAATTCATCGCTTAATATCTTCATTTTTCTTTAGTATAACTTCAATAGTTGAGGGCAAGATTTAGTAAGATTGTTGCCTTGTGATTTGGATGTCACCAATCCAAATCCAAATATCTGGACTGACTTCTTTTCCTTGCTACAATGCTTCAATAATACTTTTTCACTTACCTTCTTCATGCACTTCTGCTATGATCTCTTGACTATCAAGCCAAACAGGTACATACATCAATGTTTTGCATTCAGATTCATCCACACTTCTAGATAACGCATCTGCTCCCTTATTTTCCAGCTTGGGTTTGTAAATAATCTCAAAATCGTACCCAAGCAGTTTTGCAAGCCAATTTTGCTGGTTTCCCGTGGTAATCCTCTGTTGCAGCAATTGTTTCAAACTTTTTTTTATCTGAATACACCTTAAACCTTCTTCCCAAAAGATAAGGCCGCCAATGTTGAATTGCTAAGGTTACTGCCATTAACTCCTTTTCATATGCAGATTTGGCTAAGTTTCTACTTCCCAAAGTCTTGCTGAAGTATGCCACTGGTCTGCGGTTTTGCATGAGAATTGCTCTAATGCCCAAGCCTGATGCATCACATTCTAGTTCAAAATCTTCCTCAAAATTGGGTAAAATCAAAACTAGGGCTGTGGTGATTCTCTTTTTGAGTTCCTCAAAAGCTGCTTGTGCCTTGCTATTCCAACCGAATCCATCCTTCTTAGTTAACTCTATGAGAGGTCGTGCGATTTTTCTATAGTCCTTGATGAACTTACAGTATGAGTCCAAGAAAGCCAAAACTCCCTTAACATTTTTTGGTACTGGCCATTCCATCACACTAGCCACTTTTGAAGGATCTACCGATACCCCTAGGGCTGAAATCAGGTGGCCCAGATACTTCACACTGGTCTGCCCGAAACTACACTTTTCCTTATTTACAAACAGTTGTTGCTGCCTCAAGGTTTCCAGAATAGCCTTCAAATGTCTCAAGTGATCATCCCAAGACACACTATAAAGTAGTATGTCATCAAAGAACACTAACACCCCTTTTCTCAAGAACTTACAAAATACCTTATTCATGAAAGACTAGAATGTGGAGGGAGCGTTTGTGAGCCTGAAAGGCATTACGAGATACTCAAAATGTCCTTCGTGGGTCCTAAACGCCGTTTTTGGGATGTCTACCTCAAATCTAATTTGGAGAAGTATGACCCATGGATGAGGAATGCGAAGTACTGTTCATCTTCCATCCGATGTAATTGAGCCACCAAACACACAAATTTCTGAAGATACTCCTCTACACTTCCCGTTTGTTGCAGAAAGGTAAGTTGTTCAAACACACTCCCCTCTCCCAAACCACCGTAGCGTTGGAGCATTTCTTTCTTCAATATTTCCCAAGTCAGCTCTTCGTAATCGCTCAACAACACGTTGAAAAAATGTAGTGTGCCACCTTCCATACAGATTTGAGCCAAGCTCAACTTCACCTGCTCACTTGTTTCTTGTACTCGAATGCTCGAGTTATCCATCCTGAAGGATCTAAGCCGTAAAACATTGGTAATTCAATCTTCTTAACAGGTTGGCAAAATTCATCCAAAGCTTTGCCCTCCAAGGACTTCATTCCAGCGCCAAATACGAAGGTATTCTTACTCCCTTTCGGGTCTCCTGATTTCCTTCCTCCCACCGAGTTCTCGCCATCATCATGACTGCTTCTATTGAGCGTCCTCGTCATAAGCTCCACCAGCTTGGACTGGTTCTCAACCGCTTCCTTCTGCAGAGTTTCAATGAGCTTCATCTGGTTGTCCGCAGCTTCCCTCCTCATGGCGTCAATGGCAGAATGATTCTGTGAGGATTGACGTTGAATGGTCTCCATCGAGGCTCTGATCTTGTCCAGGTCTCCTTCGACCTTGCCCAATCGAGCATCCATTTCTTCAATTGATTTCATTTGTACTCCTTTCTTCTTTGGTGGCATCCACCTTCTAGATAATCCGGCAGGTTTGGACCAAATAATACAGTTTCCAACAGCAAATATGAAATAGAACAAAGAAAAGAGGAAGAGAATAACTATGATTCTGTATTAATTGCAATAAAGAACATACAGAAAGGAGAAAGACTCCTTACTGCCCAAAGCAGTGCTCCTAATAGAGAAACAAATATGTTTCCTCTACCCAAATGCAACAAAACAGAATGATCTCCGCTGATCACTCATGATTTCTATATAACAGAAATATCTCTTATTTTCTCTCTCTGTCCTCTAACTGCCTTCCCCTCATCTCTCATGCCACGTCAGCTCCTCTCTTCCTACGTGAATACACTAACAGCTACTTGGAATTGGATTTCCCTTCATGGGCCAAAGGCTCAACTGACCCACTTAGGAATGGGGCCTTATCAACTTCTTTCCCATCAATTTAGGAAAAGTTGATGAATTGGATGAATCCATCAAAGATACTTTCTTTTCCATTACTGGGACATGTACAAAAAAATATTCTGAAACATCATTTCTTACAAGATAAATCAAAGAAGAAATATTATCAGCATGAAGATAGGAATGTTCCGAAAACTACTTTTCAGTGTAAATTTCCTTGCATTGGTAGTTTTTTAAATTTCAATCTGACCAGTAACATCTAAGGTGTTTAGATTAATTTCAATTAATGTATTCAAGGACAAAGAAGAAAGAAAAGCCAGCAGCAAAGATAGCTTGTCAAGATGTTTTGAAAACTATACTTACACATGAAAACTGAAACTCGGCCAGATTCTGAAGAATTTCTGATTTTGTCTCACCACCTTCAATTTCATAGGAATCCAGCTCCCCAAGCTTTCCTCCAGATTCAGCCTCTCTCTCAATAACCTACACGAAAATTAACTCACTTAAGACATTGAACAAGTAAAAGGCATAACAAGAAAGCCTGTAATTGCAAACAACAAGTTCCTTCAGGCCTTTCTACGTATAAAACCAAGAGTAAACCCAGAATCTTGCCAAGACTTGATGTTAGGACTAAGTGGATAAAATTTTGACATCAAAGCCAATATTTGAAAATATGACATTGATAAATGAAAGTACCTCAGGAGATAGTACAGTTGACACTGTTGGCACAAATGAGACAACCGAATGAAATTTGTTGAAGACAATCCTTAATGCATCATACTCCACGTTCTTTAGAATGTCATCTGCCAATACAGACACCTGAAAAATCCAATAGAATAAAACAACGAGGACATCATTTCAGTGCAAGATTGAGTGAATCAATCATATTCAAAATCTATCTATGACGGGAGACAATTTTGACTGGAAATCATCAAAATCAACATGTGCCATTTAAATTAGCTTACTTTGCAGCCCAAAAACCTTTTTTTTAAACTGCTGCTTGAGAAAGAATTAATTTTTCCCCAAAAAATTGTTGAACCAAACGTGCTAAGTTTAATTCTTCAAGTACAGACAACCTGCGTCAGGATAGCTACATTGACCAATCACAATATTGGGCTCAATCAGAAAAAAATTTGTCATTAAAACCATTTAGAGCAAGGTCATAATTTCAATCTTCCTTCCAATGATTTAATTTTTAGGATCAGCCTAGACCTTATTGTGCATAAAAATGTTAAACACAAGACTCTAAGATTCAAAACCACACTAAAAGTTTACATCTACAGGATATTCTGTTAGTGTATTCAAAACCACACTAAAAGTTTACATCTACAGGATATTCTGTTAGTGTGGTCTATCTCAACCTCTTTATTTTCTAATGCTTAGTTCCCTTTTCCTTAAAAATAATTGCCAAAAAAATATAACCTGTCAAAGTCCTTGTAATTTTGGTCTTCTACGGTGATTATATTTGAACTAATCAAGTCAAACAAAAGTTAATTTCAGGTTTCAGTGTAGATTAAAACAAATGCAATCTTGACAGAAAATGTAGAAGCAAAAATATAGTTATGTAAAAGTTTCAACCATTGGGTGGCAGAGACACAAGCAGCTAACCTGAGTATAATTCAGGGGGTTTTTCTGCAATTCAGCTAGGCAGAGCTCAATGTCTTTCTTTGAGTCACGGACCAATTGAGCCTTAGCCTTCTCTCCCAATATGACATATTTTGTCTCCTTATCAGGCCCTACAGTGGTAAAATATGTTTCATTAGAAAACATTGTAAGACACAATGTAGTGGACAGTCCATAAATCGGGTAGGATAGGATGGTCACAATTCTGAAGATTTTAAATACAAATTACATATTTTATAGTACACATATATAAATGCTCAAAAAAAATCCAAAATTTAAGATATATTCATAGTTGATATTTAAAAGTCATATCTTCAGCTAAATACACAAATCAATAATAACACACGTCAAGAAAATGAGGAATCAAATAAGTTTAAGCCTGGGCTTAAAGTAAAATAGTAAACTCGGCACAAAAAAAAGAAAAAAGAAATTAGAGTGAGCAACCCCACTATCAGAAATGGACCATGATTAACTCAACCCCAAAAGCTAGCTTTAAGGAGACCAGATTGTCTAAATCTTATGAGGAGCTTTTTGCTTTTTGGCCATATTCTCAACCAATTTAAGACATCTTGACAAACCTCCTCATGCCCAAGACTAGACATTATGACGTTTGGAAGAATGGACATCAACTGGTGGCCAACCCAACAATAGAATAGTTAGGCTCTAATACCATATTAAAAATCATCCAAGCCTACTCAACCCCTAAAAGCTAGCTCAAAGAGAAGGATTACCCAAGTTCTATAAGGAGTATTATAACAATATTCCTAACAATGTGGGGACATCTTAACAACCACAACATAAGAACATAGGCAAACCTAAGACCCAGTGAGAGTAAAAATATTCACATGGAATGATGGAAACTGAGGTGTTCTATAGAGGATATGCAGAAAAAAGTAAAACACGGAACAGAGTAAGAGGTAGCAGGGCCTGGCTGGAAAATGCCAACCTTTGTGGGGACTATGCCAGCAAGCAATTAGTCAAAGGGATTGTATCAAAACATAGAATGTTATAGTTGTTAGGAGAAGGGTTATGATGGGAACTGAGATTGTATTGAAATAACAGAACCAACACAGGGAAATTCCCTGAGATTACAAGCAGTAAAAATGGAAATAAAAGAATAATGGAATAGAGTACAGCAATCTAACGAGCTAGTAATTAGCAAGAGCAATCCTCCTATAGCCTCAGCTATCCCCAATGACCTCCCAAATATTTCCTACCTCACGCCTCTGGTAATTCACCCTATATTTCCCTCAGCTGCTACCTCACTCATCTACGTCATTCAGTTTGTTATTCTGTTAGAATCTTCCCTAACAGCCTCAGCCTCTTTGTCTATTTTACCCCTCTTTCTCTGGTTTGTTTGTAATGGAGGCCCATTTAGCTTGGACCCAACAATAACACCCCCCCCCCGCCCCACACTAAGAGAAACCTTGTCCTCAAGGTTGAAGTGTGGAAATATGGCCTGCAGCATATCGAACTCTTCCCAAGTGCTGTCTTTGCTAGGCAATTTCTTCCATTTGATCAGGACCTCCCAACAACCAGTCAGGAGTTTCCGGGCATCCAGCACCTCTTCGGGCTCAACTTGGAGCTCCCATTCTTCTATTAAAAACTAGGGTAGTGCCTGACTGACCGGACTAGTAGGAGGGGCCTTCTTGAGTTCGGAAACATGGAAAATAGGGTGCAGTTGGGATGATTCTAGCAGTGATAATTTATAAGCCACGGCCCCTATTTTTTCTTCCACAAGAAAGGGGCCATATAATCTCAAGCTCAGTTTCTCATTGGCTCTTTTTGCCAATGACTTCAATTTATATGGTCTAGCCTTCAAGTACACCAAGTCCCCAATCTGATATTCCACCTCTCATCGCCCTTTGTCTGCTTGCTCCTTCATTCTCATTTGTGCTCTAAGCAAATGTTGTTTAAGTTCCTCAATTATGCTATCCCGTAACAGCAGTAATTGGTCCACCTCAGCCACCATAGTACTGTTCCGATAGTAAGGGATAATCAAGGGAGGGTCACGACCATAAAGAGCCTTAAAGGGGGGTCATCTTAATGGAAGTGTTAAAGGAAGAATTAAACCAAAATTCACCCCATGGCAGCCACTTCACCCATTGGCGTGGATGATCACCCACAAAACATCTCAAGTAAGCTTCAATGATGCGATTGGTAACTTCGGTTTGGCCATCCGTTTGAGGATGGTACGCAGAGCTGAACTTCAATTTGGTGCCCGAAAGACAAAATAACTCCTTCCAAAATGAACTGATGAAGATTCTATCCTGTTCTAAGACTATGGATGTAGGAAATTGATGGGAGTCAGGGTCTTAACCTTAACATCTTTGTAAATACTAACTTAGATAAGGCCAAACCTTGGCTGGTGTACTCTAGAAGAAAGAGGACAGTTAATAATGTTAGTTAGTAGTTAGTAGTTAATAGTAACAGCTAGGAGTTAGTTTTTTGTTTTAAGGCCAGTTATAAATAATAGCTAGGAGAATAGTGAGGGGTCTTTTTTTTAAAAGTAGTTTCTGAAATTACGCAGCAAAAATTCTCTGAGGAGCTTTGCTCTGGGAAAAACAGAATTGTATACACAATATTCAGTAATTCAATAAAGAATTCATAAAGATTGTCTCTCTCTATCCTCTTTTTCTGGTGAACACAACAGAAATCCATGCAAACGAACTATTTCTTTAACAAATACAGTGGCTACCTCCTTAGCTGAATATGGGTGAAGCAAGGGAATGAAATGGGCATATTTGCTTAGTCTGTCAACCACCACCATAATGCTGTCAGCTCCCTTGGTCTTGGGAAGTCCTCCAATAAAATCCATTGAGATGTCATCCCATACATGCATTGGAATGGGCAGCGGATGCAGTAATCCGGCAGGCCTCAAGGTTTCGTGTTTGCTGTGTTGGCAAACCTGACAGCCAGCAACAAATTTTTCCACATCTTGTTTCATCCCTATCCAATAGAAAGCCATCGCCAACCTTTTGTAGGTCCTTGTGACCCTAGAATGGCCCCCCCAAGGTGTTGTTGCATGGAATTTGGTCAGCAATAATGGAATGCGGACAGACTCCTTAGGGAGGACCAGCGCTGTTTGTACCACAAGCAACCCTGAGAAACTGAATAATGTGGGTGGGAGTTGGGGTATGCCACTACTTGCTGCATGGTTCCCTTCAAAACTTCATCTCCAAGGATTTCCTCAGCCAAATCGACTAAGTCTGCGTTAGTCAGCATGGACAAAGCATTATAGCTCAGCACCCTAGATAGTGCATCAGCTGCCTTGTTTTCTAGCCCAGGTTTATACTGAATCTCAAAATCAAAACCCATCAGTTTGGTTACCCATTTCAGCTGCTCTCTTGCCAAAACACGTTCCAATAGGAACTTCAAGCTCTTTTGATCGTTTCGGATAACAAAATGATTGCCCAGCAGGTATTGGCACCATTTCTGAACAGCGAACACGATTGCCATTGGTTCACGTTCATAGACAGATTTCACCTTATTTATGTCTGATAGAGCTTGACTAATGAGGGCTAGAGGTCGACCTTGTTGCATCAAAACTGCCCCTATTCCATACCCTGATGCATCTGTCCCAATCACAAAAGGAAGATCAAAGTTAGGCATAGCAAGAGTAGGCAGAACCTCCATCTCTTGTTTGAGTTGTTCAAAAGCCATTTGTGACTCCTCTATCCATTTGAAACTGAAGCAGCTGAGTGAGAGGTTTGGCAATAACACCATAATTTCTAACTAAGCAGCAGTAGTACCCAGTTAAACCCAAGAAATCCCTCAAACTGCAGTTCTTCAATGACCGGAATTGGGAACTTGTTTGGGATGGTAATACTATTAAGGGCTCGGTAATCCACAAAGAAGCGCCAGCTACCATCTTTTTTCTTGACTAGAATAAATGGGCTCAAGTAAGAGCTGGTACTGGGTCTGATCAAGCCTGCTGCCAACATATCCCCCACAAACCTGTCGATCTCTTATGGCGCTGAGGGTGCCGATAAGGACGAATATTAGGAATGGTAACTCCTTCCTTTAAAACGATGGCATGTTCACATTCCTGTGGAGGAGGAAGGGTTGTTCCCTCCTTAAACAACTCACCAAACTCCCTCAGGAGTTCCTTCATTGCCTCTGGAGCTGTCAGTGTCACCTGAGTGGGCAATTCTGTAAACCCCACTATAATCATACCCAGTTCTACATAATAAGCCTCAGCCTCCCCTTTAAGCTCCTTCTTGATGGCCTTTAATGAAGCCACTGTTCGAGACAGCCCTACGTCCCCTTTCACCTCAATAATTTTCTCGTCTTTGTGCACCTCGATCAAGTGTTGGCACAAATCAGCAGTGAATTCCCCAAGCTCTTGAGCCACTCATATCCCAGTATCACCTCCACCCCTACCAACTCAAATAAGAAAATGTCCTAAATGACTTACAAGTTGGGTAGTTCCAACACCACTCCCCTACAAACACCTTGGCTGCCCAACATTTGACCATCTCCTACCTCCACAAAAGGCCTCGGTGGGAATTTTTAACTCTTCCACAAGACTCGGTGACAGAAAATTATGAGGCTCCCGAGTCCACCATCACGATTACCCTCTTCCCAGCGATTGTTCCCCACATTTTCAAGGAATTCTTTGAGGTCATACCTGCGATACTACTTGCATTTAGCTGGAGACTACATCCCCTATTTCCTCCTCCCCGGAGACGTCATCCTGAGTCGCGTCATCTTCTCCCAATAGGATGACATGGAGCTGTTTATTGCGACACACGTGGCGGGTGAATACTTCTCGTCGCAGTGGAAGAAGAGCCCCCTTCGTCGCTTCTCATTCTCCTCTTCCTCAAACAATCGTTTGAAGTTGAGGCCTCTGTAGTGTGAGGAGGCGACAGATCACGAGAAGCATTTGGACTCCTTTGCGGCACAACCCGACTGCCACTGGGTAAGTTAGAAACCCTAGGCCCGTAAGGAGAAGTGGGCTTGTTCCTTCTGGTCCAGCCTTGTCTAGGTGTGTATTGGACTCCGCTTGTTTCAGCTCAATATGGCTTAAGACTTGTTGACCTGCTCCCTTTAGAGGATAGCCCAAATGACAGGCCCAATACCTTATTCTTCTCTTCAACCCTCTAAGCCAACTCCATCATTGTGCTCAAGTTCCCAGAGTCTCTCATCCTTACCTTGGCCTTGACTTCTTCCTTCAGATCATTGAGAAAAGCTCCGATCATAAACTCCTCATCAGCAAAACGCAGCAGGGCAGAAAATAACTCAAATTGTTCCCTATATTCCAAGACCGTTCCCCTCTGTTTTAACCCCATGAAGGCTTCGTAGGGGTTCTACGAGGAAGAGGACCTAAAATGCCCCAACAATGCTTGTCGGAACGTAGGCCATGAGGGCGTCGGGACCTGCAGTTCCCACCATTGGTACCAGTTGAGTGCCTTCCCTTCCAAACACACCACCGTCGTATCTACTTTCTCGCTTCTAGAATACCATTTACTTCGAAATATCTCTCTGCCCTGCACCCACCCATAAGGATCTTCCCCCGAGAAATAGGGCATTTCAGCTCGCCTCACCCTTTCCTCCCTTCTCCAAGTGTCACCCTCTTGGTTACTGTTCGTACCCTCCCTTTCTGCCCTCACAACTTGTAAAGCCAACTCTAACCTGGTCGTCATTTTCATCATCATTTCTTCCATTTGCCTTCTAAACTCCTCCTGCATAGCGACCTGCATGCCTTCCAACCTACGTTCGACGTTCTCCAACCTATTCTCCATTCTAGTAGTTACCATCAAGCGCTCCAAGGATCAGGAGCTCTAATACCACTTGATAGGAACTGAGATTGTATTAAAATAACAGAACCAACACAGGGAAATTCCCTGAGATTACAAGCAGTAAAAATGGAACAAAGTACAGCAATCTAACGAGCTAGTAATTAGCAAGAGCAATTCTCCTATAGCCTCAGCTACCCCCAATGACCTCCCAAATATTTCCTACCTCACACCTCTGGTAATTCACCCTATATTCCCCTCAGCTGCTACCTCACTCATCCACGTCATTCAGTTTGATATTCTGTTAGAATCTTCCCTAACAGCCTCGGCCTCTCTGTCTATTTTACCCCTCTTTCTCTGGTATGTTTTTAATGGAGGCCCATTTAGCTTGGACCCAACAAGTTACAAGCAAGGATTCTCCATACCCATTACATTACTAATGAAAAGTATGAAATCACAATAAATAACCCTACAAATGGTAGGGCAACATAGAAAAAGGTGGGCTCCAGGTTATAGCCACTGATTCACAATTGCAGCCACAAAAGCTGCAAATATCTGGAATTTCTGTTGTAATGGCAGGTACAACATCCACAAAGCCAATATGCTCTGAGATTGGATTCCATAGCAACCAAAGGCCACAAGACATCATGATGCCACTAGAGAACCAAGCAATTTTTATTAGAACCAAGCAAAATCAAACCATGGCTGTCACAAGAGAACAGAATTTTTTAAAAAAATGATTAAGACCACAATAAAACAATTATACAGCTTCCTAATGAACATCTCAATTATAGTTATTTATAACAAAAAAATACTACTTCTGTATTGCATCACTATACATTTAGTCCTTTTAACCATTCTTGTAGTTTTTTTCATATTCACCCAAATGTCTATTATATTTAGCTTTAATATTACTTGTTACGAGATTTTAGATACATCACACATGTTACATTCAAATGCACCACTGAATAAGTAGCATAAACATATCATTATATGCCAATTATCTAACGAAATAATACTTTGGGTGCAAGCATCAAAGGATCTTCTTCCCTTTCTGTCTCATTTGTGCAAAAGTCTAGAGAGTTGCTGACAATCACAAAGGTATGGCAAAAGGGTTCTGCACAGTGGATAAGTCCATTGTTTGGATAAAAGGATCCAAAAATTTTAGTCACTAAAGTTGAAACTCAATCTGAAAAAATATCTTGCTTCATCAGATTACAAATTTTCTCGTTTCTCCCATTCTACAGTTACCAATATACAAAACATTCAAGATTATGATCAAGATTTCAGCTTATAAAACCATCCAACACAAATTTCCATTTCCATACATTTCACTTTTAATATCCAAAAACAATTCACCTAAACAAAAGCTGAATCTAACATCACAAAAATAAAAAAACAATAAAATTACCAGAATTCAACTTGTGCAAAGCCCTGCTTATCTTGACGGATGTGGAATTAATCCCACCGCAAAGACCTTTGTCAGAAGAAACAGTAACAACAACGCTCTTCTTGACAGAAGCACCTTAGAACAAAAACAAAACCGAAAAACAAGGTCAGGGCATCACAAAAACAAAATCCACACACAATATACATACTAATGTACCACACAGCTAATTCATAGAAATCTAATAAAGCAGTTGAACGTGTTCTGATCCTACGGCGCAAAGACACAATAATAATAATAATACATACATAAATATATACATACATACATACCGGGATTGTCACCTAGAAGAGCGGTGAATGGTTGCCAGAGGCCACGTGAATTTTCGGCTCTGGTTTGAACAGCACGTAGCTTTGAAGCGGCAACCATCTTCATTGCCTTGGTGATCTTCTGGATATTCTTCACACTCTTCATTCGGTTTCTCACTGCGTTTCATTACACAAATCCACATTCATTCAAATCCAACAGTAACACAATTAATAAATAAAACTTACCTGGAACAAAACTTAGAGACGGCGAATGAGAGAAGAAAATGGATCGTACCTATTTGAGTGGAAATAGAACGCGCCCCATTGGGAGCAAGGTCTCTGAAAACAAAGAGAAATTGGAGGGATCAGTGGAGGAAAAAGAAAAGTGAGCAATTAGTCCGATCTATGTTACATTGAAGGGAAATGAAGGAAACCAAAGAGTGATTTTGAGATTTGAGAAATGAGAGAGGGAACGGAACTTACGGAGAAATGAGAGAAGAATTGAGAGCGTTGATGGGATGGGCCAAACGCCTCCCTTCGCGACGCAGAGCAGCAGCCATGGCCATGGATTCCTTGATCAGATCGCACTTCTGAAACCCTAGCGCTTCAACCCAAGTTTATTTGTTTGGTTGAGGAACGAAACACACTGCCTTCGCTTTTTCTCACTATAGGAAGAGGTTTGAGCTGTGTTGTGTGTTGTCACCACCCCACGCACTTTTCTATTACTGTTTTACTGGGTAAAAAAAAAATTAGCTATGTAAAAATTAGTAATTAATAAATTGAAAATTAAAAGAATTGTTTCGTGTTGGATTTTTGCTGGTGATTACTTGGATTTTAATTTGAATAGTAGCAAAATAAGGTTTTAAAACATAAAGAAAAAATAGCTAAATTATTAAAACAAGATACGCATAAAATATATAAAGGGAGAGTTAGAATGTGAAACTTAAACTTGAACATCTTTTGATAATCTTTTACAAAGTATAAGATTAACTAATTTATTTATTAATTTTTTATATTATATTTATAATTATAAATATTAAATTTCACATAATTTTGATACTTGTAGGTAAAGTCAGAATCTATTACACTAGATGTCAAATTTAGACGTTTACATTATTTAATAATTTTTTTAAAATGATATTAATCAATTCAACCGTTATTTTGAAGTTCCTATTAAGCAAATCAACATTACAAAAATCTATTAAAAAAATTATTTTTAAAATATAAAAAATATTAAATTACAAATAACACGCCTACAAATGTCTAAATTATGTAAAATTTAGTATACATGACATAAAATAATTTAAAGATTGATTTGTCAATTTTGCATTTTATAAACATTATTAAAAAGTGTGTGTCTAAATTTAACATTAAGTGTCAATAAATCTTAATTTTTGTAATATGATATTTAAAATTAAATATTTACTTATATTTTAAGAAAAATATTACACATTGAAATAAAATATCAATTTATGTTGTTTTTATATAAAAATTGTATTAAATTAATTAAGAACTTTTAAGTTGAGTAAATTGATTAATCTTATATTTTATAAAAAGTTATTAAATTATATAAATTTTCTAAAGTGTTAATAGATATTGATATATATATATATATATATATATATATATATATATATAGAAAGAGAGAAAAAGAAAGAAATGAAGAAGGAGAAGGGTAATTAGTTGTACAATTGCAGAGACTTATATATTATATTAAGATATTTACATTTTTTTTCAAAAATACTATTAATTCTATCACTGGAATCAACAATTACAGTTATGATTATGATTGTTTCACATATATAAAAGCATAAAATATTTTCTCATTTTCTAGAGCACCATAGAATTTACCTTTATATTTTATGTAATTTTTAAATATAAAAAAATAATATAAGTGAAGAAAAGCTTTACTATTAATGTTAAAAAAAACATTTATATATATATATATATAATTTAGAATATTACATATAAAAATATATTTTTTAATATTTGAATTTTTTATCTACATAAGATAGTAATCATGATTGGAGGTGTAAAATAATTATGGTAGGAATGTGCAAAAATTTATAAATAAATTATAAAACCATATCATCTTGAATGAAATTAAATATAAAGATAAAAGAAAATTAATCTAAAGTAAATATTAATTATAAGTAACTCAATTTTATAAATATTTGTTCGTATAATTTAGATATAAAGAATTAAATATAATAATTATAATATTTATTCATGTTATAATATTAATTATAATTTTCACACGATTTAGATATTAGTTGACGCAAGCTAATGGCACTGTTTTTCCATTTTTAATATTTAATTTGCCTAATAAATATGTGATTGAATATTTTATTTGATTTGAATTGACTTCTCGAATACATGAACCACATATTTTATACGGTAAAAATGTAGGATTTTATCGACATTTCTTAAGATGATTGTGATTGAGGTTTTGACCTGATTTTTAAATTTTATAAGAACACATTAATTGCACTCATATCAATCATATTATCAATATTAGGAAACAGAATTATATCATAGATAGTGAAAGCAAATACATCCATGAATATATTTTAATATACTTCATCAACTAATTAAGTTAATTGTTGTGTTAAGTATTGTTTAGAGAACCCTATAACTCTATGCTTATTTTGGGTTACCCAAACACTAGCTATTGTAAAGATTTAAGCATGATTTATTATTGTATATTCATACAACTTTCTCTCTTGTAAAGATAAATTCAAAATTTGCTCAAACTCTTCTACCATAGAAACGATTTAGAAATCCTAGAAGGTTAAGCCTCTTCTTGTCGATATCAGGGTCAAACAATAGAGTAAATTTGTTCTTTATTTTTCCTTTCATACAACAACAAAGTAAAAAAAAAATTAAATAAAACTAAAAAATTATTCAAAAGTAAAAATAAATTATGGAGAAAATTATGCAAAAAAATTAGGAAATAAAACAACCAAAAAAATGTTCAATATAGTAATTTCTCTACTACTAATGATATTGAAATGTAAATTAATCACTGTAACAGGGCTAAAAACTTATTCGCTTTAACATTCTATTTACAAAGTGTACTACGTAGTTGTAGCAAGTAATAAAATTAGAATAGTGAGTTTTGAATATCATTCTCTGGAATTGAAACAATCAATTACCAATTTGCAAGATTAAAAATTTGTGATTAATCAAATTTTGAGAAGGTTTGAATATTTGAGACAATAACATAAAATTGCAGTAAACTAGAAAGAAATAACAAATAGAGTGAAGGGTTTCAAAAGGAAGTTATTATTCAAATAAAGTTAGGGTTAATTTCACCTATTCTTCAATTGCAAAATTAATTGCGATATGAATTCCTAAGTCCTTAATTGGTTGATGATCAATTTCACCAGGTTAATCGAAGTTCAATTTCTTGACTCAATTATCTTAATATCTTCTTAATCTCCCTAATTTCTTAGGTGTGAATCAATCAAATATTGCATTAAAATGATAAATTAAGAGACTACAAGATAATGAATAATTTTTCCTAAGATATCATAAATCTTGACATTCAATTTAGATCTGAGATGCTTACTCAACTTCCATTGATGTAAAATCTCTAAGTTCAATTCAATTGAATAGCTAATTCAAGAATTGCATTAAGGAAAGAAATGAATGTTCAATACAATCAAGAATCTAAAACTCAGATCCATAATCAATTTATAATTTTCAAATAGGATCCATCAATCCCTAACAAAATAAATTCAAAACATGATTCTAAAAAAACGAGAAAAAGAAATAATAGAAAAGAAGGTACAGAAGATCTCAATGAATCGAAGTCTTAAGGTTGATTCCTCAAGAACTAAGCCTTGAAATTCGTCCCCAAACCTCTTTATCTATCTCTCTAAGAGTGTGGAAAAGAAAAAATTGAGAAAAGTTCTTTAAACTCCAAGTTTAAGGCTATTTATAAGTTTCCTATGCTTCTGGCGTAATTACTTCTAATACCTAGACTAGTTACGCGCAGATTCTTTCTCATGACAACTTTTAGAACTTGCACTTTTGATGGTAATAGTGATCATGCACAGGGTTTTCTCTAACTAAAGCTCAAGAAAGCTCACTTTTGGCACCAAGAGTTACACACACAGGATATTTCTTATCCTAAGTCTTTGGAAGACTCATTTTAAGTGATAAGAGTGCTTATGCATACCATATACCCTCTTTAAAACCTCTACAATGCTCACTTTTGGTGGTGAAAGTGACTATGCTCATTATATTTTACTCTCTAAGTCTCTGAAATGTTGACTTTCTTTGCTAGTAGTGATTACGCCAAGCCTCCAGTAACTTCCAAGCCTTTATACTGTTCACTATCTGTATTCAAAGTGACTACATTCAACCTATTTGACCTCTTAATGCTTCTAGCTCATGTGTTTTTCCTTAGAATTTTCTATATAACTAATTCAACAACAAAATTTAATTAAGAATTCTATGAATTACTAAAAATAAAAATAGAATTTATTAAATAATTATATTTTTTATGAGGTTTTCATCTTCCAAACTACAATTTTCTATCAAAAAGTTCCTAGAAAACTAACTATAAATCCAACAAAATTTGGATTTATTACATGATCTAATGGATCAATTACGAGGAGCTTTAGTGTTCTCAAAGATTGATTTACGATTTGGCTACCATTAGATTTGAGTGAAGAATGAAGATATTCCCAAGACATCTTTCAGGACTAGTTATGGCCATTATGAGTACTTAGTTAGGCCCTTTAGTGTGACTAATGCTCCAACGATATTCATGGATTACATGAATCATATCTTTCATTAATATCTGGACCAAATTTCGGTGGTATTCATCGACGATATCTTGATCTATTCAAAGAATAATGAAGAACACGCTGAGTACTTAAGGATTGTCCTGCATATCTTAAGTGAATACAGTTGTACACAAAGTTCTCGAAATGCGAGTTTTGACTATTGCAAATACAATTTTCATTCTCCAATACATATATTATTCATATAGATGATAATTAATAGCCAAATCATAGAACTTCTTAAAACATTGTTTGTTCATAATTATGACAATAAAATTTTGTTTAAGAGATTGTTAGATCAAACCATAGGTTTTTCGTGCCAAAGATCCATTTTTAACATCATACTTTTAAGAAAATACTTCAAATCTACTATTCAAAATAGGGTATTTTGGGTTTTTTTAAGCTAAAACATAAAAATAGAACTTAAGGTTTGGGATCAACTCACCTGACCTGGAAATGAGTCTTTCACAATAGAGAGATGGAGGTTGATGTCTCTATGATATGGTTCATCTTAAGATCCAAAGGAAAAGCTACAAGGTTGCGATGGAAGATGTTGTCAAAAAGACCAAGATCTTCCTAAGCATAAGAAAATGAAGGAATAGAAGTAAGATTTCAAGATCAATCTCTAACAAACTTATTTGGAATTAAGAGGAAGAGACGTCAAAGTTTGGATTTGAAAGAAATTTTAGAGTTCAAAGATGTTTTCTCTGAGAAGGAGAAGTGAGAGAACAGAGAAAACGATGAGAATGGTTTCTTTCTTTGAGATATGTGTTTTTAGAATGTCTAAATCACTTAAATACCCATTTTTCTTAAGGATTCTCGCTTGAGCGAGAAAACTAGACAAAAAATGCTACTTTTCTATCGTGAATTTTTGCTCGAGCAACATATTTCTCGCT